CTACTACTCCTACTCCTACTGCTACTACTACTACTACTACTACTACTATTACTCCTACTACTACTACTACTACTACTTTACTCCTACTCCTACTCCTACTCCTACTCCTACTCTTACTCCTACTCCTGCTACTCAGAACAAGGGTCCCGAGCTTCAAACTCTGAGCTGCTCATCGACCCGAGCTGAGAGCCCCAACAAAGGAAGGATTGCGAGAACATGCAGTAAGTGGTGCGCAAACGTGTTCCCTGCCTAAGGCGGGAGAACCAGGGGTCGAGGCTCGCCAGAGCGAGGAGGGCAGATGCCTTCGCCCGCTCGTGATCTCCGGCGCTCAAGGAATCTATGATGCCGCCTCGCATCCAAGCGTGCTTATGAGTCCTGTGAAAGACTGCAAGAGACTCCAAAGACTCCAAAGCTCGATGCAAGCCCTCGGGGAGCACAGCAGACCCTCCATGCCAGGCCGGCTTCGTCCTCGTTCATCGAATTGCGATGAGACGACTGAACTTGCGGGCGACGTGCGGAGCAGGATTTGCAGCTTCTGATACGCTGTGGCCTTGCTGTTGCCACCTCTCAGCGCGGAGCCCATAGAATCCCCGCACCCTTTGGCCCGATCCAGAACCTCCTCCAGAGTACCTGCGCGGCGATCCCGATGCATGTGCATGATCTTGATGACGGCCCGTTAGGTCCTCGCCCTCTTCGTCGTCTACTTGGACGCTATACAGGCCGCCGTCTGCAGACAGGCTTGGATGCCACACACTGAGTGGCTCCCCGCTGCACCGGCTCCGAAGTGCCCGCCCAAGTCGTCGAGACTGCCGCTGGCCGTGTCTGGAAGAAGAGGAAAGATGGGAAGTTTCGCCGGGGCCGAAGGCCTCACGAGGCTGAGTGCAAATGGCGGTTTGGGGCATATCATCCAGCCCTCCAGTCCCGTTGCGTTTTCACCCAGGTGTGTGTTCATGCCACCGTGCCGTGGCAGGGCGCCAGACTTGCGCTGATCGAGTACTATATCGGACAGGTTTCGAAGCCTTAGCGCCGAGGTGCTGCGATGCAGGTATTCTTCCGGGATTTGCTGGGAGTCCGCCTTCTTTCATTCGCTTCGCACACTACCTCGAGGAGATCGAGGGCCCAAATCAGCCATCGGTAGCGCTGTATCCGTGCGACAACGGCGCAGGCTCGGTCGCCTTCGTGCGATGGTCCAAAGGTGGAGTCGAAGCGCCGAGGTCGATCCAGGTGAGATGGGCGGCGCCGCGGCTGCTTTTCCCTTTTCTGCTGACTGCTGCTAGTCACCGGTGATCCTGATGGATGCACGTGCGTCGTATCGACCTCTGAACTCCTCGACTTGTTTGAGTGCGCTTGAGTGGGTTCTGTACAGCTAGGTCCTTGATGCTGTGCAGAGCTGGCCCAACGACTGAGTTTGTCAGCCCCGCTTTTTCGCATGCATTTTCTGCTGTGGGATGGCGATCGCTGAGCTTCGGCTCGGATCTGTACGTGCGATTGGTCTTGTCGGGATGGTGCGGCTATGCCGTGCGGCTATGCCAATGATGTGTCATTCTTCTTTCGAGGAGGTTCAAAACATCGCTGCCCAAAGGTAGCCGAGCTCCCGGCTTGCTCGCTAGCACGCGAGGCGGACTATGGATGTTTGCCGTGACTGGAAGGAAGAAGTGGTAGTGGTAATGCCCGGTAATGGTAGATAGTATTTGTAGCGCAGCAGCCGGGTTTGCCGTCGTACCATACTCGTAGCAGGACTGAGTGGCAGCATGGGTGACGAATTGTTGGCGGTGCTGCAATGACTACTGATCAGGTTGATATTCCCAACCGCAGCAGTGACCGCCCCAAAGCAGGGCAAGTGAAGAGAGCAATGAGAAGGAGCCGCAGTCTTGCGTGTGCGAAAAAGTGAGTGGCCTCTTCAACTCAGGTTGTTGTTGAGATATGTTCAGATCGTCTTACATCTCTCTCCTGGCAGGTTGAAGCCCCGCTTCGCGAGATGGCTTGTTCGTGGTGAAATCAAAGCCGCACCGATTCATGATGTTTGACAGTTTGCGGGTTGTTGTTGGCCACAGGGTTAGACTTGCAGGGCGGGTGGTCCTGAGAGCCGAGTTCTATCGTGCCGTGCCAGTTGTGTGCCCAACATCCAGTACCACGCAGCCTGCCTTTGACTTGGATGTCGCATTTACAACAAAATAATTGCCTTCGACCTGGAACCCGCAGTAGCACACGCTACTTAGTAATGGACGGGTTTCTGACGTGCCCGTCAACGTAGGAGGCTCCACTGTCAGCCTTTGGAAATGAAGATTTTGGGTGCGGCTGCAATGGCAACCGCTTCGGATGAGATGCCATGCTGCTCAGCTCCGATTGGCTGCTGCAGACAATCTATGCATGCGCAGCATTGGCGCGGAGCCAATGAAATTGAGCATGCATGTGGTACGCGGGGGCTTGAATTGGTAGTTTGAGCCAGCTGGTGGAGCTCCCACTCGCACACCAAGGGCAAAGTTGACTGTCAAACTTAAGGCGAATATGCTTTGCATCACATATACGGGCAGACTTGATTGGCCATTTGCCTGTGCTTTTCCCTGCGACATCCTGCGACGTACCGGTCCAAAACAAGGTCTGGAAGTGGCCGCCGATGCCCATTCGTCAGCCTTCGCAAGAGCAAGTGCCAGGACGTCTGAAGCCCTGCAGTGTCCTTTGCGGCTGGCGGTTTATGGCGCCTGGAAAGCAAGTAGAAGTTACAGTAGAAGGGGTTCCCCTTCATGGCGAGAATGTTCCTCGCATGTTCAGGCGAAGGGCTTGTGGCAGCTGCGCAGGCTGCATCTGCTCTGGCAACTGGCCTGGCTAGCGCCATTGTAGCTGCTGGCCAAGCGGCTGAGGTGCTGCGCGTGCAGTTGCTTCGCCTCGAACTGGCCTCCGTTGCAGGTCTCCGTGTGTTTGTTCCACGGCCTCACTGCGGCTGCTCGGTTTCAGGGTCGAAAGCTACTCCGGCATCTCCGGCCATCCTTGCGCCATCCTGGGTCTGACTCTGAGGCAGAGCTTTTGGCCGATGCGGATTCTCAGACTCTGCGAGACCTGCGCGGACGACGCGGGCCCGGGCTGCGGCAGCTGCTCTCCCAAGAGCGCCCGGAAGTGCTTTTTCTCGTCGCTGGAAGTGCCGACCTGAGCCAAAAGGCTTTTTTGACTTTTTTCGTATGCTCAAGGCAGTTAGTTTCGGTTTATGAAGGCTGTGACCTGGGGCTCCGCGATGCGAGCCCCAATGAAGCCATGGGAAGCCTGCTTGGGCTTGTGCGCAAAGCACAGGAGCTCGGTTACTTTTGGCAGCCTGTGAATTGAGACTTCAGCCACTCTCGTGCTTAGTGGTCTCAAGAAATACCATCCCAAAGTCAGTCGCCACGGTTAGGCTTCTACGCCGCTTGTGTTTGTTATGGCGCTGCCCGACATCAGCAAATCGACGCAGCGTGCGTCTCTTCTCGGTGCAACTTTGGCAGCAAGGCGCGGAGAGACATGGACCGTGGAGACTCACACATGACAGTACGTGTTCAAATGGTCACTCCAGAACTGATTCGCCTGTGCCACAGACATTGGTTTCAGCTTCTGGCTTGTGCTTCCATCTTGTACCTGTTTGCTTGAAACTGCTGTCTTAAGCGCAAATGCATAGTTGACGACTGTCTGGAAGACAGAGCAGATTCCCAGGCGGCATGCGACAAATGCTGGTTTAGTCCAGTGGGTCGACAGCAGCACTGCGAAGTGGATCAATCCTGCTGCCTTGCTACCTCATGGGCCGAGGCCTGTCCCAGTCTGTCCTCTCTAGCAAATTCGATTGCAAATACGTTTTGCTTTCTCGTTTGCTGCTGGTCTTCGTCGAAGCGAGAAGCGAGAAAGAGAAGGGAGACTAGTCTTGTCCAGCAGCGGAGATCAGGCAGACAATTGCACAAAAGATTGGCGGAACTGTTTGGTTGGTCATGTAGTGGAGTGATAGTTTTCCGGTTCTGCTTGTGCACTTAACTGGACGGGTTGCTGGGACTGCCCATCTTCCTGATTAGATTGCGGCGACAACAGTTTGACGCTACGGCTGAAATAGAGCGGCACCTCGGCAGATGACAATGTTTCATTCCCATCACGGCAGGTAGATGTCTTTGAAGGAGAGAGTCTTCCTCGAGCCAGGAGACTTAGGCTCGCGAGTTAAGCTTCCCGAATGGGTGCTGCCGGGCTAAGCCTCCAAGATGGTGAACTTTCGAGTGGAGGGAAGAAAGCAAGTCCTAAGTCCTCGCTCTTCCACGGGACGCGAGCCCCCGCGAGCCCCCGCGAGCCCCCGCGAGCCCCCGCGAGCCCCCGCGAGCCCCCGCGAGCCACGAGCAGCGGCCTGAGCCCGAGCTCTTTGAGGCGAAAAGGCGTCCTCCAACAAAAAGGATGCCACTTCTTTCCTTTGCCGCCGTCCGTGACTGGACAACTCGCGCCGCAAATCACAGGCTGCAACAAGTTTGAGCAAAGCAAGCCTTCTCCCAGGAGGATCCCGCTCGAAGGAGGAACCCCAGAATTTCAAACCAAGGAGAACTATCAAGAAGAGCACAGTGGAGCAGGCATTATAGGCATTGTCCCAGCTGCATGCACTTGCCGACAAAGTGAAGATGGTACGGAGCGACATGGCCGAGTGGGGACAATGACAAGGCCATGAGTGACACACACACACACACACGCAGTGGCAGGGCACAGCGGGAAATCCACGCACTATGCAGACGAGGGGCAATGAAACCACGGAGAACGAGCTTGCAAGAAAAGCATTGTGGGCACGGCAAAAACACGGGCATACTTGTTCGCACCCAAGAAGTGCACAGCGACCCGGGGCGCCCTCGGCCCCTGTTACCACCAGGTATGGGAGGGCATTGAGAAGTGCCCTGTCGCGAAAGGTATGAGCATGCTATGCTTGCCGGTCGTTCAGCGGAATCCGGCCACTCGAAAGTGACCGTGAGTAGCAGGATTGTGTTGCCTGGCAAAACTAGCACTGGATTTCAATAAGTGGTGGGCACGTTGTTGCCGCTGGATAGCTGCTGCTTCATGCACTAGTTAGTCACTAGTTTATTGCGCTGTGGAACTGCAGTTGCCGTACGCTTGCTTTTGACATCTCGGGTATGTACGATGTGCAAGGAATGCAAGGATGGCCTCATACGATACCCGTGAGAAATATGTTGGACTTTCCAAGGTCCGAGTCAGTGACCTGTGAAGTGGCTTGGTAGGGTTGTGGCTTGCCTTTGTGTTGTGTGTGTGGTTTGCTGTTTGTGATACGGCTTTTGCTGCGGCGCCGGGTTACGCGCAACATCATCCTAATGAGTCGAGTCTGACTTCTGCCCAGCCGAGTTTGAGAGTGAGGTCTACCTTGCGGCTAAGGCATAACCGTACTTTGGTTTTCCCCACCAGCCTTCAATTAGAGGCTTTGCGTCCGACCTGGACCCGACCGAACGAGAGAAATGAACAAGCATGTATATTCATATTTAATTTGTATCTCTACTTGTATCGGCTTCGGTCTTTGTGTCTATGTCTACATGTACATGAAGCAGGTAGACAGGTGGATGCATAGATGGGTACAAGTTTGAGATGGTGTGGTGCCGGTGCTTGTGCAGGTCTGTTGCAGCCGGGTGCTGGGACAGCCAGCTGCTTTCAGAGAAAGGGGCCCTTACCTCGGCTTGAAAATCGTCGAAGGATTTCAGTGCACAGCCTGTGCTCGTTCCAGGCACAGATTCTTGCGGAACGGTTGGTCCTGTCCGTTCTCCCTTGCATCAGATCCACGTTAGAGCATGGCTGCGCTGCGCAGGCTCTCGTTCTTGGGAAGTCAGACCGGAGAGAGCGAGAGAGAGAGAGAGAGAGCAACAGATGTTGTACTGGGCTACATGTCGGGGGACAGGAACTTTAACAAACACTCGACATGCTAGCCGTCCTTCCACACCTCCCGAAAGCCCCATGAAAT